CAAAAGCTTGTGCCTTCACTTTCAAAATCCACAAATTAAAAGAAGCCAACCATACAACCCTAGCAATCTTGCACTTGTTAATTTTTTATGACTACAAAATCAAACGTAAATTGGAAAAAGTTAAGAATTAATGTTTTTGGAAACTAAAAGTTTGCACACCAATTACGTTCTTATTTCTCAATGGTATAGTTGGAATCAAATTTCATCTTTAACATATTTCCTTAACTTAATATTAAGTTTCCATATTTGAATGTCACACCCAATGGTTATTTCAAATTCTACAAGATTTAAAGTTTTATATATATATATATATATATGTAAGAATTTCTTTGTTTGAAGATTTTTCAAATCAAATATTTGAATTTGTCATAAAGATCCAAAACTTGATTTTAAGTTTCAAAACATTATTGCTCTCTAACCTTCCAAATTTATATGTGGATTAGAAAACCTTCAACATGTACATTCATAGTTGATTATATAAGTTTCAGACCATATCGACAAATTCTAAAACCTCAAGTGAAATTCTAAAATTAAAGGAAATTGAGCACTATCCATTTTGAGCTATAATAGCTAATTTGACTTAGATTTAAATATGAGGGTATAAAAAAGAACTTTGAATAAGGATATAGTAGCTGAGTGGAACCCTAATGTATTTTTAAGAAAAACTTACAAGATTTCACCATTATTCTTTGTGCTTTATTTTTGTTCTTTGCTCATCTAAGTGTCAATAATATTTGTTACTCTTTCAAGAGTGAGATAATGTTTGGGGGAATATTCTTATAAGATCTAGACAACTCTCCTAATAGTTAGAATATGGTTTTGAGAAAGATTGTAATAAAGGGATGAGTTGTTGAAGGTGTATAGCGTTGGTAAAGCTATTTTGCATGGTGGCCTTTACACCTAAAAGTTAGAGGAGAACATTTGAATTTAAATCTAATTCTCAAGCAAGAGGCTTAAGGAGTGGACTAAGCACAAATCATGACCAAACCATTATAAATTACTATATTGATTTTTCTCTTTCCTACTCTTTTAATTTCTACAATTTAGTTTACTTGTACATGCTTGCATTTGCATGTTCATTAATTTAAATACAAAAATTGCATAAGTTTTCAAGAACCCAATTCACCCCCCTCTTGGGTTGCCATCTCTTAAGCCAACAACACTCTGACTTATCAGTCTTCTTGATTGAACGAAGAAATGGTTAGGTTACAACAACCATGAGTCTAAAGACACTCGAATACTATAATCATTCCCTGTTAGAAAATAAGAAGATAACAAAAAAAGAAGAAAGTTCTAAAGCGTGATCTTACTTTTCTTAGAGTGTGATCTTACTTTTCTTAAGAATTCAAAATTTTTTTAAGATATAGCAAAACTTAAAATCTCACTTAGAATTAAATATAGAACTTGAAGTTTATAAAGGAATTTATAGTAGCTAAATGGACATTAGTTGAAGGGATGTCGTTACAGAAAGACACTAATTAAAGGATGTGTCATTATAGAATAACACCATTTTGAATAGGTGCCTTCTAGCAAGTCAAAGCCCAAATGCCTATTAAATGATAATATAAATGGGCAAGGCCTAAAACCCAAAACCTATAGGTCATGAGTCTAACTTTTTATAATTATTTATGAGTAGAAGGTAAACAAATATAAATCCCTATATTTTCCTATTCTTCTCATATGTGGGATTTTAACAATTTCTAACTATTCAACATTCACCCACTAGTTTGAAATGTTAATTTAATTCTACTCAACAAGAAATATACCTAAGGAAGGTATCTCTCCATTTAAACCTTCTATTAGTGAACATACCTCAAATCTAATGAAATTATTAGTGTCCATAGATTTAAACCATAACTATTTCTATTAGATATAAGTGTATAACACATGTCTTTTTTTGCCTAAATCAAGAGGTTTAAAACCTTTTAGCACAATTATGACCATGCGCTCATCTTGGTAATAATGGTTATTTATAAGGGAATCCATTAGTTTCTTGTTGAAGAGGTACCACTTCAATGACCACTTAGGTGAAGTTCTTTATATCCCTATTGCTATCAATATTTAGCAATTAACAACTCCATTAAGAGTATACACTTGTTGTTCAAAATGAAAAAAACAGCACTTGACTGATTTAGCAATGGGTATCTAGTGCTAAACATGCATATGAACATGCATATGTAGTAACTTTATATATATATATATATATATATAATAGCTTTGTTTGATTCTAAGACAACTCTTAAGTCTCTCTTACGTAATAGGTTCATAGACACCAAAGTTTTCCTAATATTACGTACATGGAAAACATTAAGCAAGGTTAATTTGTGGCTCAAAGTGAACTTCAATTTGACTTTGCTTTTGCCTAGAAGCCTTCGCCTAGAACTTTTGTTGTGACATTGTTTCTTATGAGCACTTCTATTGATTCTTTCAAATTTTCACAAGACTTGAATTGTGC